ATCATGTTAAATTCATTCTCTTTCTCATAGAGTCCAGTAAGAATAAATTGTTGGCTTATTTGTGTGTCCGCACTTCACTGATTGGTCTAAAAAATAATCTTAATGAAAAAGTATTATTTTCTATAGAACTTGACCAATGGTAATCGAGATCGAGGAACTCAAATCTGAAGTCAAGTTTTTGAAATTGTTTGAATAAATCGTTTGCTGGTAGTGAAGACACACGGCTCCTGCGAGAAGGAGCTGAGTGAGTCTTCCGACCAGCGTTACTTGTAGATTTAAAAGACCTAAAAATATTCAAGATGAAGTCATAATATAAATCAGAATTCATGAATCAACTTCTCCAGCTGCTATCTTGCATATAAATATCTTGATATAATTTACATACTACTGACTATTTCAATGAGTTTTCAACGTTATAATTGAAATATTTTAAGGAATTTATCGATCATTAATAAATAAAGTTATATTCAATTTGATTTATTAGATATAGATACGATCACTTCATCCTCAAATGATAAAGGCCTTTATGATTTGGGTACATATGTTTTTGATGAATATTTATTTAGCTCAATTGGTACGATGGTTTCATACGAGTTTATCAAGGAAAACTGATGATTATATTTATATTAAATTTATGCTTATCTTTTTTTTGTAATAATAAATCTATTTTAACTATTACTCATCGTTGTCAATTTGACCTGAAATCAAAATATGAAGAAGATTTTCAAATAAGTTCAAGAAAGATTGTACAAGATGATCTGTTATTTTCTACTTCATATAATCTTAAATGAAATATTTACATTTTATTCTAGTTATACTACATTGATTATTGCTATTCAATAAATGCTTGAAGATGATAATGATAATTGTTTATCAGATGGAAAGATTTGTTTGGAAATTTTTTATCTCTTATTTTTAGTTACGCGATCGTGATCGTGAACAATTAAAACAAAGTTTTGTATGTATTGATACAGCTATTGATAATTTACGATAATAATATCAAGATTATATTGTTAGTGATATTGATTCACGTGATTGTTTACGAAATGAAGGAAAAAAATGAATTATGGAAATATTATGAAGAAAGATATATATTTGTATTTACATAATAAGTTTAAACTATAATGACGTATAAAAAGAATAAGAAGAGTGTATTTTATGTTATAGAAATGTAAATATCATTTGAATAAATAATCGACATTAGTTTTAATTATAATAATACATTCAAGGAAACTGTTGTGTGGCTTTGATTTGTTTCAAAGAACAATATGACTAATTTAAAATTTCTAATTTTATTTATTTTAGAATATTGAACAGAAAAGTATTTTTTAATTTACCTCTTGGTGGATATTTGTGAAAATAGATGAAAAAAATATATTATGAAAAATTTTTATTGCTTTGTTCTGATTCATTTTCGTCTATCGACAATGAAAAATATTTATAAACCTATTGGTACTCTGTACACATCAAATCATGTAAATATATAAAAGATATTTGTTGCATTTTCTGCTAGAAATTTGTTTATACAGTTTTTGTACATCCTTTCTTTTTAATTATCCTTATATGACATTGAGCGAAAGCAATTTTTTATTAGAGATATGAGGCAAAAAAAGATACATATGACAAAAAGCGATATATATGAGAAAACAAAGATATATATGTTAAAAGCAATTAGAAGAAGAGTTAATGTTTATTATGCAACATATTGAAATCGAATAGCAACATTTGGTGCTTTTTGTTTTGATTTTGCTGCTTTTTTTGCTTGCATTTGTTTTAGTCTTTCAGCTTTAACAGGATCAATTTTAAACACGTATTTGAGAATATCCATTATTATAACAAATGAACATGTTAATACTAGAGCAACTATTGCAACGCTTGCAAATGATTTACTTAATGCTTGTTTAACTTTTAATGCACTTGTTTGAATTTCACAATAATTACCATAATAAAGTGATGGAGTTAAGCATATACAACTCCAACTCATGTTAACTGTTCGACATATACCATGATTTTGACATGTTATATTAACACATAAATTAACTTTAAGTTCACAATGCACACCAGTAAAACTTTCACTGCAATTACAATAGAAAGTTGTGCCATTATTGTCAACCGTAGTAGAATTCACTTCAATACATGTTCCATTATTCCTTTAGAAATAGAATTTACATAAAATAAAATTAAAATAAACATAATTTCTTACCAACATGTATCATCTTTACATATTCTTCCATCATTTTGACAAGTACTACCTGTATAGCCTGTTTGACATCCACATCTGTATCCTAATGCTACTGTCGCATCCGGAAAACAAGTTGCTGCATTAAGACATGGTTGTGACATAGAACAAGTATCTGATGTAACATTACAATAAGCACCTATACTCGTTCCTGGACAGTAGTATGCTGGTGGTACAGGAGTTGTCGCCGTTGTTGCAGTTGTTACTGATGTAGTTGTTGCTGTTGTTGTTGTTGTTGTTGTTGTTGATGTTGTGGTTGATGCAGTAGTTGACGTTATTGTAGGTGTTGCCGTTGTCGTTCTCACAGCAGTACTACTTGTGGTACTACTGCTGCTACTCGTAGTAGTACTGGTAGTAGTGGTCGTGGTAGTACTACTACTTGAAGTACTGCTAGTGGTAGTGGTAGTGGTAGTAGTAGTTGTACTTGAAGTACTGCTGCTACTTGTAGTGGTGCTACTTGAGGTACTACTGCTGCTTGTAGTGGTACTGCTAGTGGTGGTCGTGATAGTAGTGCTGCTTGAGGTACTGCTGCTACTTGTTGTAGTACTTGTGGTGGTAGTAGTACTACTGGTGGTAGTAGTAGTGCTACTTGAAGTACTGCTGCTGCTCGTGGTAGTACTACTTGAAGTACTGCTACTACTCGTCGTACTGCTACTTGTAGTGCTGCTACTGCTCGTAGTGGTACTACTAGTAGTGGTCGTAGTAGTAGTGCTACTTGTGGTACTGCTGCTACTTGTTGTAGTACTTGTGGTGGTAGTAGTGCTACTTGTGGTACTGGTGGTAGTACTAGTAGTGCTACTGCTTGTAGTACTGCTGGTGGTAGTAGTAGTAGTAGTGCTACTACTTGTGGTGCTGGTAGTGGTAGTAGTAGTAGTGCTAGTTGTGGTACTGCTGCTGCTTGTGGTAGTAGTAGTGCTGGTGGTGGTCGGTATTGCTGAAATATAAAACAATTGTACTTTATTCAGTCAAATTAGTGAGAATTTATACTAAAAATATTAATATGAGTTCAAATGATTCAAGCATCATGTTATTTTCATTTTTTCAACTTTTCACATAATAGCCGCAAAAAGAACTAATTATCAACTACAACTTCAGAATGTTCCATTATATAAAAATAACTTACGGCATGAATTTGATGCTAAGATTAACTTTTGCACTCGATTGTTACTTCTATCAGCAACATATAGATTTCCATAACTATCGAAGCTTAAAGATGTTGGATAATTTAATTGACTTGATGTAGAACCAGGTATTGTTGCACATCCAAATAAACATCGAAAACCATTTGGTCCTGATCCAACTATTCGATGATTATAACAATCCGCAATAAAAAGATATCCATTAGCATCTAATGCAATACCATATGGATTATTAAGTGTAATAGTTCCTGGCGCACTAGCTCCTGCTACGGTTGTCCCAGTAGATTGTCCAACAGCAAATACTTGCACCCTATTATTAAGAGAATCTGCAACATATAAATTAATTTGAGCATCGACAAAAATTCCAATAGGTTTATTAAGTCTGGTTGCTGTTGATCCCGCTGTGCCGTTGCCAGCAACAATAGTTGATGTAAGTACATTATCATTCAACCATTTCTTAACAACTTGATGAGACGAAAATGTTGAACAATAAAGAGTATTACTAATATCAACAAAAATACCATAACATGCATACGGAACTGACATTACAGAAGTACTTATATTTGAGTTTAATGAAAATTTATCAACTCGGCTGTTATTGTTTAAACCATTATCAACATATATATCACCTAGAGGAGTAGCGAAAAGATCATATGGTGTATTCAAACTACCAGAAAGAATTCTATCAGGATTGATACTTCCTTCGAAATATACTAGAACCTGATTGGTTTGTTGATTAACTACATATATAGTATTATTAACACTAACAAAAACACCAGTTGAATTTATTCCAATAGTACTACTATTGGCGAATGTAGTTGCATTTGTATACCAAGTTGCAGATGAACATAAGTTTGGTTGATTGGTAGTTGTATCTAAAAATAAAAATAAATTAAAAATCATTCGTAGTATTGTTCGAACATCTTCATCAAATGAAATATTTTCTAATAAAAAATATTAATCGTATACTCGATCTTTTAAAGATCATACGAGAGTTAGATAGTTTAATATAATCAGAATCAATTTTACAATTATGTCTTTTACAACAACTCTCCGATTAGATTTTATTATAGTTATTGAATCTTATAAAAAGAAGATCTTAATTTACTTACTATAAACATTGGTTGTTAAATAAAATTTTTGAACTCGATGATTCCAATCGTCAGCAATAAACATATTTCCATGAGTATCAAAAGATAGAGCAGTTGGATAATAAAATTGATTAGATGCTGAACCGAGAACTTCTGTACATCCTACTAGACAACGATATCCATTTGGTCCTGAACCAATAATACGTTGATTGGAAGTATCCGTAATAAATAGATAACCATCAGCATCAAGAGTAACACCACTAGGACCAGAGAGATTAATAGTTGATGGTGCTCCGGTACCAACTATTGTAATACCATTTAATTGATTTAATGAAAATAATTGTATTCTATTGTTAGTATAATCAGCAACATATAAACTTAAATCTGTATCAACATAGATACCACGAGGATAATAAAGTGCATTGGATGTTGATCCTGCACAATCTATACCAGCAGCAACTATCCACATATTTGAATTACTATTTAATGATTTTGTGACAACTTGATGATATATAGATATAGAACAGTAAATATTATTATAAATATCAATAAAAAGACCCCAACATCCGCCTTTGACATTCATTACTGAAACACCAATCGTTGAATTTACTGTCCATTTATCGACTTGACTATTTGAATAACCATTATCAACATAAACATCACTATTAACTGTAACGAATAGAGTATATGGTAAGTATAAACCACCACTAATATTCCTCATAGGTATGGTACTACCTTCAAGGAAAACCAGAATAATAGATTGAGACCATTCACTTAAATAAAGAGTATTGTTAGTATCAATAAATATATCGTATAGAAATCCGGAACCGCTGTCGAAAACAGTCACTCCATTAGCACTCCAAGTAGCATAAGCGCTGAATGTTGGCCGGTTGTATGAAAGACCTACAAAAATATATTTAACAAAGATTCTTTTAATTACTGTTAAATTGAATCATTTTCGTAGTTATGACCTAACTGAGCAATAACATACAACGCCTATGAAAAACTATTAAAAATCTCGAATATTCGTTTTCTTAAGTCAAACTTTCGAAGACTCGTGGTAATCTTTTATTTATTCCGTTCATTTATAGTACACTAAACAGACACTGTTAACTAAAATTGTTCTCACTTTCTGTAGCCAGATTTGCTTCCTTAACGAGCAGTACGCTGAAAAGTAAGATATACTAATTAAATTTCATATGCACAGTTGGAAAAAAATATTTTATAAACAACATACCTGTCGCAGAAGATGCATTTGTAGAATTTGTTGCATACGTAGATGTTAATAAAGGAACTGATTGAGTACTATTCATTGATGTTACTATTAAAAATAAATTTAAATTTTTAGTAAAAAAAATCCGTAAATAATTACCAGTTGTCATTGTTGTCGTTCCATCTATAAAAAAAAACATAATTTTAAGAATCATCATTTTCTTTTCATGGGAGAGACTGTTATTTCAATAGTACATCTTTAATATACTAATAAGAAGATTATCGTAAGAGAAAATCTATTTTGAAAAATAATATCTCCCTATAAAGACTGACCGAAAGTGTAACACCTTAAAAAATATGATATTAAATTAGTCATATTTATCCTTCAACTGATGAACGGCTCAGATGAAATAATTTTTTTAAAGCTTAGAATTAAATTTAACTTACTGCATCCATTTGTTATTAATAAAAACTTTTGAACGCGATTGTTGGACGTATCAGTAACAAATATATTTCCATAACTATCAAAACTAAGACTTGATGGAAAATATAATGTGGTAGCTGTTGAACCATATGTTCCAGAACATGCTGCTATACATCGAAATCCATTAGGTCCTGAACCAATAATACGACAATTATAACTGTCAACAATAAAAAGATATCCATCAGCATCAAGATTAACTCCAGTTGGATGAGAAAGTGTAACAGTGCCTGTTGGTACTGTTGTTCCATTTATTTGCCTCGATGCAAATTTTTGAATCCTGTTATTAACACTATCAGCTACATATAAATTGAGATTTGTATCAACAAAGATTCCACGAGGATTATCAAGTGTCAATGATGTTGATCCATAGCTTCCCGTTCCAGCAACAGTATTCCAGATGGGTAAACGTGTACTTAATGATTGTGAGATAACTTTATGAGAAGCATACATTGAGCAGTAAAGCGTATTAGTAATATCAATAAAAAGACTATAACATGCTCCGCACATATACATCACTGCAACACTACTTGTTGAATTTAACATCCATTTGTCAACTTCATAATTTGAATAGCCATTATCGACATATACATCACCATTATCTGTGGCAACAACACTAGCAGGATAGGCTAAATTACCCGAAATAGTTCTTGTCGGTGTTGTGCTGCCGTTTAACCAAGCTTGTACGCGATTATTCGTCCGATCAGCCACATAGACAGCGTTGTTCGTATTGACAAAAATACCATAAGGATTTGCGCCAACTGTAGCGTTGGTGGCAAAAGTTATAGCCGTAGAATTCCATGTTGCATTTGCACAAAATTTTGGTTGATTGTATGAGATGCCTAGAAAAAATAATAAGAATGATTTTAAATCTAACAATAGACATTCTACATTCAATTAGTTTATTCATAATGATCTCATAGATGTTTATTTTGAAAGAAAGATTCTTGTATGAAGTTAGATATCTTATTTTAACACTAAGTATATTGACAATTTTAATAAAATACATGCCTGACGTTTGCCCGATATACAGGAATAATAACCACATATTGAAAAAATCAAATAATGTCATATTATTTATCTGAAATGAAATTAACAAAATATACGATCTTCAATTTATAGGTATTTGCGTATAATATAATTGTATATGGGGTCATTCAAAAACGACCCTACTTTGCAGATGAAACTTTACGTAATGGAATTCATTATACAACAATGCAGCATCTAAAAGTTTCTTAAGGTTATTTTATGAGTCACAAACTAAAAGGATTATTTAAATACTAGTGGTAGAAATTAAATAACCCTATCGTCAATAAATATCACAGACATTACCTTCATTGGATATTCTATTAACTTCAGCACATTATATCCTACAGTGAAGGGAAATAGTTCAAAATGAAAGCGTCCTCTGTCATAAGGGCAATTTACTACAGATGATGAGAGGCGTTATTGATTGGCACTAACTGATATAACAACACTTATGTTGTATCTCGCATTATAATCCGTCAGATACAGCGCTAACAGCTTTTTTAAATAATATTTTGTAATATTCTTTTGAAATAAACTGAATAAAATATACCCATAAAAAACAAAAAGAATAGTGAAGCATTTGCTAAATTAATATTTTTGTTAAAGAACAACATAGAATAACTCTTCTACATATTAAATTCTGTTTTATTACCATGTGCCCATGATATATTTTGATATTACATTTAAAATATTTGTATGTATTTACAATAATCTAATAAATACTTTTCTAAGATGTGTATTTTATTATTATTTCTTTAATCAGGACTACGTTAAAGTTACTTTTTCTTTGTCATCAGAAGGTTTTTCAAAAAAAATGTATTTCTGAATATTATTTTTTTTTATTAGAAAAAAGAACTACTACTTTTGCTTATTGCATTTTCTTTAACTCATTTTCATATTAGAAAATATAATTATGAAAAAAAAGAATCAAATGTTTTTTTTTGTTTTATGTTTCTATGAGATAGAACCATTATATTTGATTGAAGATCTATATCGAACCTAAAACATCTGTCAACTCATATTTTTCAAAGAATATTGAAGAAAACATTATTTTTCACTGAACCTATAACTTCTCTATATATCTAGGAACGACTTAACATTAGTTTTCAAGTATCTAAAGTAACTTCTTCAAAATAAATCATATTTACTGTATACTTCGAAACATCTACATAATGTGATCTAGAATTATAAAAAAAGCGTGAAGAATAATGCTTATTTCAATTAAATATAAGATGCTATCCCTAATCAATGTAATATAAAAATAAAAGCTTCCTTTGAACATATTAATGATCATTAGTTTCAGATTGTGTAATACTCGTTCATAAATTTAATAATTTAAATGAGTATGAGTGATCACAGGTTTCTAAATTCTATATCTAATAAAAAGTTAAGGTAAATTATCAAAATCACGAGAATATATGACCAGTAGTATAAAAGAAATTTATTCATTGGTATATCTCAATAAAGATCACAGATTTGCCTATTCCATCAAAGTATTGATAGAATTTATAATAATTAATAGTTTAATTTTTCTCTTAATGTGTGATTATGTAGTTGGAAAGCTTTCGATTTATTTATCTTACTTGATATTGGTGAAATAAATAATCAGTTGTGTTATGTTTGTTTAACTTAAATTTATGAAAAATATACTTCTTTAAATAGAAGAGAAAAAAGTATGGTATAGGAATATTCTCGAGTGTTATTAATAAATACTTGTAATTTCACTTTATACCATCACGTAGTTAACGACTGTGTTTTCTTTTTAAATATTACGCATGGTTTACCAGATGTAAAAACAAAAAAAAGTAATAGAATATTGAGGAAATACTTGTTTAAGATTTGAAAAAAATATTTAAGAGCAGATTAATAATCTAAAATATAATCATAAGAAATTCTAAAAAGATTCAAGTCAATTATTAATTCTATTCCAAATAATAACTACATTTTTCTATTTAGAATTATTAAGGAAATAAAAAAATAATATCGTTCAAAGATAATAGTGATGAAAAAGAAAAAAAAGTGTCATTCATAGATATGATAACACAGTTTACCTATATTTAAATCTTGTTTCGGAAAGTTTTCATTTGTAAAAGCTCTTTAACTAATAAAAAAACTTACTTATTCAAAAAGAAAATAGTTAAGAAAAAAATTCATTTGTTATTACAGAAAATATATGACTCAGCAAACACATTTATTTTGTTTATTATTGAATGCACTATTTTCAAAATATAGTATAATATATTCACTGGAAAACATAAAATAAACTATAAGAGAAAAAAAATAAAATGGTAAAGAAAATCTGTTATAGTAAAACCATACTGATATCAAAAATACAGTACAAGATTTTTTTTCTGTTCTGTAGTGAGAAGAATCTTGTCTGATGAGATAATTCTTATTCTGTCAATCAACTTCTTGTACATCTTTTAATATTGAGCATTTGATTGTTTTGTGTTTCTTATTTCCCAATACAAACTATACTCATATGTTTGATATATAAAATAAGATTTTTTTGTGCATTTAATTAAATCAAACTTTTTTCTGTAAGAAAATATTTTTTTTTTACAGTCATTATAAAAAAAAGAAAGAGAATAGTTTTAATTTAGATAGTTTTTTTCTGATATAAACGAGGAAGAAATTATTGATCATTCGTAGTTAATTACAATTCTGATATATTATTTCAAAGAGATAATTTTATCGTATATATTTATTTTTTATATTTGAATAAAGAAGTATTCAATGATCTTTTGATGTGAATGATAAATAAGTAATAATCGATACTTGCAGCATCTGACTTTTCTAGTATCTTTCATGTATTCTGTATTATTTACGCATGATTAGTCAAACAAAAGAAAGAATAATCTTTCAATTATTCTCTTTCCCGTAGAGAAGAGTCTAGTAGAAATAAACTGTTTGCTTTCTTGCTTGTATATCCGCCTTCAGAAATGGTGCGAATCAGCCAACATTGGGGGAAGGGGCGGTAGAAAACTTTTTTGTGGAAGTGTAGCATCATCTTTGGTAAAAAACCTAAGAAGATTTGCCAGTTTTGTTGAGCAAAAAATAGAAATTTTCGAAAGATTGACAGGAGGGATTTTACACACCTGACACGCTCTTCCGCTCCCCCCTTCCGGTTGCGCAACTCCTGATTAAGGGTTTTCCTACAGTTTTTGATACACAGTCAGATGGAAAAGCATATTTTGTAAATTATTAATGGTTAAAACGGTTGATGTTCGGTCAAAATCCGTTTTAATGCTGTAACTCTATTATTTATCTTATTATTACACATGTTAATGCCCATTTTTGCATTATAGACTTGACTGGAAATCCATCTACAAGAATGTTCAAATCTGGTTTTTCAGACAAGAATTTGAAAAGACGAAAGGCAAGATCGTCGACTAGTGTTATTATCATGGCACATACACAATCTAATTTTTTCCAAGCAACAATTAGTTCTGTTTGGGTGTAATCTTACACCCACATTCTCTTATCAATTATCTCGTAATATTTAATTAATATGAAAATCTCTTTGAATTTTATGTAAAAATTTGGATAAAAGTTGTTGTATCAATTAGAAAATAAATGCATTCATAGACCAATTAATTTAATAAAGTAATTAATATTATATCGATGATATCTGGTTAAGAGAGGAAACATGTAATTTAACAGAAAACCATTTTACACCATCATATTATTTATTTTCAAATATCTTAAATATTCTACCTTTAGGGTGAATGTCGGTGTGAATATGAAAATAAAGCTCACTAAATCTACATCCATATTCTCAAGATGATCTCTAAATATTTGTTTTTTTTCTTTCTTATTATTAATCAATATTTTTATTACCTTATATTTTATAGATGATACTAACATCAAATGTCATAATCTTATTTTATATTTTATTCTATATTGGAATAGATTAACCATATTAATATGATATCCAGTTCTCTATATATCGTTTAATGTGACATTTAATGTCTATTTGATGAATCTTTTTCATCTAATGTTGAACAGTGAAATAAATGTTGCGTTCATTTATTTTCTTTCATACTCTTCAACTATATACTAAATTCTCTCATCGTGTCTGCTTTTTGTTCTTTCTACATGTGAATCTTTATGCAGCGTAGTAAAAATACAATATTAAAAAAAAACAAAATAGATCTGTATTTGTTTCTGTTCTGTACTAAATCAACGCACATTTTGATTTGGTTGATTGCTTTCTCTTCTGCAAAGCAAACATATTATTTTATATTTTTGATAGTACATAAGAAAAAATTTGTCATTAGCCTTGTATAAGTCATTTGTCGGTTAGTGGCGCGTACATATCTAGGTAAGTAAATGAGCACAGATAATTATTCGAAACACAAGGAGAATTTAGGTTATCAATATTAAAATCATTTTTGTCATTCGATCTATGTTTATTGTATTTATTAGAATAAAGTCTACACTAGCAAATTCTTTTCGATTATTTTCGCAATATAAGATAGAGCTATAGGCAATGAAAAACAACTCCTAATAGTAGATTAATTAAGAGATATCTGTTATTATAATTAATGATATTGTGATTCAGTTTATTTACTTCGTTGTTTTTTACATGATACAATGTCCTATTGGATTAATATTAGCATGCCACGCTGTGTATATTTGTCTTGGCATACAAAAATATCTCAGTTTGAAAATAAATGTATCTGCATGTCATATTAGTATTAAATATATACGCACATGTAGAATATACAGGTAAAAAAAAGATATCAATATTTCTGTCCTCCTTCGCATTGTTCTAATTTTTCTTTTAATTAGTAGGTCACTCACATTTTACATTATATTTGCTGTACGAATAGAGAAGGACGAAAAACTAATAGATATTTGAATAAGTTTTGACTATTGTATACAGACAATATGACTCATAAATACAATAGGATAAACATACTAAATATTTGCTACTGATGACACAAGATCGTGCGAAGTTTTTTACTAAATAAATATCATCAAAAATATATTATGATCTATTACTATTTGTCTTAATCAATAAATATGATCATTTTATGAATTTTATGATAAAATTTTGTAAAGTGTACATTCTATAAGCTACTATCAACAATCAAATCTTGATCAAATGATGATATTCTCTCTCATTATCCTTTTCAAATTATAAATGAGTTTCTTTAGTTTAATTCATTTTGAACGTAGAAATATTTCTTGTGAATTAAAATTGTTATACATTTGTCACTCATATAAGATAATAACTACTGGTGACTAGAAGTATGCAGTCCAGAATAAAGATCTTATAGAAAATCTGTATTTTTAAACGATTTATTACTAATAAATCTTATAATATAGTTTTCTCGCACCCAGGATCAAAAAACCAAGAATGATAAATATTCAAAATGAAAATTTTTTCTGATTCTAAAAATGAATTTATAAACTAACAAATAAAATCTCTTTCAGTGCGTAGTCAATAAGATTCAAAATTGATATTAATGACGATATTATTTTTGTTTTCTTTTTCTTTAAAATTGTAGATCATATAAACACGAAATGGCTGCTGCAATTCGAGAGAATATCGATAATGTTAAGAATAAACTCGATCCATATTTACACAGTGAACAAATTGATTCCTATTTGAATCCTATCGAACAGAAAATACATTTAGAACGTTCACTAATTGTTCTTGGTATGTTATTATTATTTTTATTCTGTTACTACTTTGTTTTGATCATCTTAGGTTTGTTTCCTATTGTTATCATCTATATGATCTTTGGTGGATGCAATGATTTTGTTTGCAATTTTATCGGTATTCTTTACCCTATATGTGCTTCGTAAGTAAAATTCCATCTGTGTATCTTGAGAGCGTGAGGATTAGATATTCAATTGAAAAGTAAAATATCTAAATTAGTAATAGATTTCATATATATTGTTTATCTTGATAATTTCAATTGAATTATTTTATTTGTTAAGATTATCAATTGTTAAATCATCAGAAACAAATTATGTTAAAGAAAAAGAATTACTCATTTATTGGATTGTTTATTCATCACTGATTTCTATTGAGTATATTGGATATAATCAATTTCATGCATTACGTATTTATTGGCTTATTAAATTAATTTTTCTTATCTGGTTTATAAACTATGGTGCTGCTAAAGCCAAGAAATTACTTGAATTTGTAGCTCTTGTAAGACTTCTTCAGAAAGGTCAGTAAAGTTTATGATCATATATAATTACTGAACAAAAATCATAGAAAAAATTCTAAATTGAATCTTATTCGAATATACTTAAAGTTATTTTATTGATTATTCTATCTATTGAAGAAATTGTGATACATTTATATATGTATTATAGAACTGGAACAAGAAGAAAACGAAGAAGAGGATAACGAGTCAGAACGTGTCAAACTTACTGAAGAAATGATGATGGTTGAATATGAAGAATCCTCAAAAGTGTGTGTCGTAGGGGTCACATTCGCTAATGAAGATATGATCCTTGTGTCTAATGTATTGAAAAAACTCGACGTAAGAAAATAAACTTTTCTTTATTAACAATTATTAGATGAGAAATTGAATTAATACATTAAATTAGATATATTATTTTCTTCCCTGTTCAACTGGAATAGTTTAAAACTCATGTACAATTCTATGATGAGGAAAGAAACTTTTATTCTCCTACAGAAACAAAAATATGTTAGTTATTATTATTCTTATCTTAGATGCAGAAATATTTTCATTATCCATAACTTTATGAAAATAAATATTTTTTGGTAGATTTGCAATTATGATGATCTTTGATTTCGTCATTCAGTATGAAATCGATTTCTTACTCATTTCCATTTTCACTTTTACACAGACCCTCAAGAAATTCATATTGTATTGCAATACAAACGAACCCGAAACACTTCAATATCTGGTTGATGGATTACAAAGTTGCACAGTTAAATTCTTTCTTGTTTCATTTTCTAATTTTCATTTCTAATGAATAATATAGGACCTAGCTACAATTAGATTGGTTTCAATCAGTCTGGGTGACATAGGAATGCAATATGTGGCTGAAGGTTTACGAAATAATACGGTAAATTTGTTTATCTCTCTTATTTCTATTTTGAATTTTTATCACATAGACATTGGTTGAAATCAATTTTTCAAATACTGGTTTGGGATCTGAATCAGTACGAATTTTGGCTGAGGTTTTAGAAAATAAGACTGTAAAGTTCTTTTTCTTGTTATGTTTTTTATTTCCAAATCGAATTTTGTTGCAGGCATTGACTACTCTCGATCTCTCAGAGAATAATATTGAAGGTGACGGAGTTCAACATCTGGTTAATGTTTTAAAAAACAGCACAGTCAATATATTTATCTATTCATCTCGCTCATTTTCATCTTGATTTTTTTCGATACAGACACTGACTGATTTATGTCTTACCTCGAACAAGATTGGAGACGAAGGAGCACAGCACTTGTGTGATCTCTTACGAAATACCATAGTATATATCTTTGTCTAATTAGATTTATCTCATTTACATCTGTATTATTGATATAGACACTCACCACACTCAAAATTGGTAACAATGATATTGGAGAGGAAGGAATTCGACACTTTGCTGATGCTTTAAAAAATAATAATGTGAATCTATTTACTTATTTATCTATTGCATTTTCAGATTGATTTATTTTTTCAGACAATCACAACACTCGACCTCGGCTCTAATAAAATCAAAGATGAAGGAGCCCGATATTTGGGTGTTGCTTTACGTGATAACACAGTAAATCACTTTTTATGTCTCTTAATCTTTCTTATTTTCGTCATTATTTTTTCATATAGACACTCAATGAACTGGATCTTGGATCGAGTGAAATCGAAGCTGAAGGAGCCCGATTTCTAGGCGATGGATTACGAAATAATAAGGTCACTCTCTTTTTCTTTTGATCTCTCTCATATTCATATTAAATTTGTTGTATAGTCACTTACCAGTCTAAAGCTTTCAGGAAATATCATCAAAGACGAAGGGGTTCAACATTTACTTAATGCTTTAGAAAATAACATTGTAAATCTTTTTCTTTATTTATTTTCTCACGTAGTTTTATATTGAATCTTTTTATTATTCAGATACTCAACCACCTTGATCTTGCATGGACTGAATTTGAGCAAGATGGAAAAAAAGCGATTGAAGATTATGTGGAAAAGACAGGATGTTCTGTTTTTAAGGGATTCGATTTTTAGATCAACATTACACAATAACGAACAAAACTTTTAGAAATTCTATTTTTTCTAATCATTATTAGATTATAGTTATTATTTATCACAAACTAACATATTTTATCTAAATAAATTATATAAGGAACAAGTTTAACATTGATCAGAACTATTTTTACTTTAAAAAATATTAGAAGTGATCAATTATATTAAATTCCATTAAACAAAATGTTTTGATAATAGAATAAAAATTGGTGATTCTGTTGGTGATATTTTTACAATAGAATATAATAAATAATGTATGACATACTAAAATGCAGATTCAAAATAATACTATTCAACTTTCTTAAAGATAAGATTAAAAGATACTTAGTTATCAAAACCACAATGTACAAAAAAATTGAGGGTGTGGGTGTGGGATGAGAGTGTCTCGTATCTCTATCCATATAGACACGTACATCCATGCACACACCCATATTGTATTGAAATTGTTGTTCTAGCATACAGAAATAATAAACGGCATATAATCTGATATAGAAATCTTTTCAAGAATTAGTTTTTTAATACCAAAACAAACTTTCATCTGAATATCTCATAGATAAACTTTGTCTTACTTCAAATAATATATTATTTGATAAAGTACTCAATAAATTTCTTTTCTCATGTAAAATATATCGTTCTTCAGCATCTCTTTTTTTCAGAAAGTTTATTTTTTCAATTGCTATCAACAATGGTATTTTATACTCAAATTATGAAGAAGTTTCTAAATATTTTTGTGATTTTCAAAAAAACTATTTTCAATCAAACACTTCAATCATTTTGTACGAAACATTTTGCTTGTTTTAACACAGAACAAAAACTTTTCTTCGATCTTACTTTCATCAATATTAAGTCTACAGTTTTTTTTCATTTATTGGCATAATGTTTAAAGCATGCTCGATGCAAAAAATTTCACAAAGCTATTTTCATTGTCTTTTTAAAATAAATTGTATATATTCATCAAACATTCATATAATGTCTGACAGAAGTGCGTAAGAGAAAAACTAATTCGGTGAGAGAATTGTATTTTTCTTTCTACCTTTATTCAATTGTTGGCTTCTTTTTCGTTCGTTCTTTCGATAATGTTACCAACAAATGTGTTTGCTTTGTTCTGTTTCTTGCTCTGTACAATATTTTTTTCAAAAATAGCTAGATGAAATTTGTCCTTGAGCGACAACAAAAAAACACACTCGAAGTCGTCGAAAAATTGGAAAAAACCAAGCCACTGCCTATATAAAGAAGAACGGTGATCTTTCTTTTCATTCAAACAAGAACATTTACTGACAACTTTATCTTCAACAACAGATTGCAACAAGATCAAAATGAGCGAATCAAAATCAAATCAAAACGTTGTTGCATTATCCAAATCAACTGCATTATCAAATATTCGACAACCACGACGACGTATGGCACAAAACTACATTCTTTTATGGGTAGATACCAGCATCGATCAAACAAACGAAGATTATGAAACTACATTAAAACAAATACGAAGTGTTACTAGTGATGTCAATGCCTTTACGCAACGAGATGCATGCATCGACTTTCTTACAGATGCTGAAGAAGACGTTAAGTCTTTTCTCATTGTCAAAGATACTATGTTTCAACAAATAATGCCCCTTATCAATGATATTCCTCAGCTGGATGGTGTTTATATCTTCAATGATATTAAAACCCTACATGAACAGTGGACAAAAAAATTCGATAAAATCAAGAGCATTCATACCATCGTCGATGATCTATGCCAAGCATTACAAATCGGTATCAAGCAGGTCAATCGAGACTCAATAGCCATGAGTTTTATCACAAAAAGTGGAATGGGTCCAATTGAGAATTTAAATCAGTTGGAACCAACCTTTATGTATACCCAGCTATTCAAAGAAATTCTTCTTGATATGCAACATGGTGAACAGGCCATCAAAGATTTTATTACATATTGTCGAGATCATGACTGCATGTCACCAAAATATATTGATCGTTTTGAGAAAGAATACAGTTCTCAATCCGCTATTTGGTGGTATACTTTTCCATCCAATATCTATTCAATGCTCAATTATGCACTTCGCTCGATGGAGGCCGATACTATTATTAATATGGGTTTTTTTATCCATGACCTTCATCAGCAAATCCAACAACTGCACCAGCAACAGATTAATAGTTATCATGGCAAATCATTCATAGTTTACCGTGGACAAGGTCTATCCAAAACAAATTTCGAGAACCTTCGAAAAGCACAAGGTGGCTTGGTGTCCTTCAATAACTTTTTATCCACTAGTACGGAACAAGACATCGCTCTTGGACTTGCTTATAGTGCGTCAGAAAACGTGGATATGGCTGGCATTTTATTTATAATGTCCATTGATCCTTCTATTATATCAGCACCATTTGCCTCTATCAAAGAGAGGAGTTATTTTAAGGAAGAAGATGAAATTCTCTTCTCAATGCATACCGTCTTTCAAGTAGTCGCAATTAAACAAATGGACAATGAGAATCAACTTTATCAAGTTGAATTACAATTAACATCGGATGATGATCAGCAATTACGATTACTTACTGATCGGATACGAGAAGAAGCTGGTGATGGTACTGGATGGCGAAGATTGGGTAACTTATTAATTACAATTGGTCAATTTAACAAAGCTGAAGAGCTTTATAACGTATTACTCGAACAGACATCTGATGAACATGAAAAAGCGATTTATTATGGTTGTCTGGGATATACCAAAGATTACCAGGGTGATTATGAAAAAGCTATTTGGTATAACAAAAGATCACTTGAAATATATCAAAAAACTCTTCCTTCAGACCATCATTCGTTGGCTAACCTACACAACAACATCGGTTGTGTGTACAACGCCATGGGTGAGAACTTAAAAGCACTTTCATTTCACGAAACAGCAATTGAAATTCGAGAAAAAACTCTTCCTTCAAATCATCCTTTTTTGGCTTCTTCATACGGCAACATTGGTAATGTGTATAACCACATGCGAGAATACTCGAAGGCACTTTCATTTTACGAAAAAGCAATTGAAATTCACCAAACAATTCTTCCTTCGAATCATCCTTCATTGACCACTTCATATAATAACATCGGTGTGGTGTATAGTCAGATGGGAGAATACTCAAAAGCACTTTCATTTTTCGAAAAAGCACTTGAAACCTTTCAAAAAACTCTTCCTTCTAATCATCCTGATTTGGCTTCGTCATATAGCAGCATCGGTAGTGTCTATCACTACATGGGAGAGTACTCGAAAGCACTTTCATTTCACGAAAAAGCAATTGAAACCTTTCAAAAAACTCTTCCTTGTAATCATCCTTCATTAGCTATTTCATACAACAACATCGGTGTGATATATAGCCAGATTGGTGAGTATTTAAAAGCACTTCCATATTTAGAAAAAGTATTTGAAATTCGACAAGAAATTCTTCCTGAAAATCACCCTGATTTGACTACTTCTTACAACAGCATTGGTGATGCGTATAGCCAGATAGGACATTACTCAAGAGCACTTTCACTTTACAAAAAAGCACTTGAAATTCGACAAAAAACTCTTCCTTCAAATCATCCGGATTTTGCGCAGTCATACAATCGCATCGGTACTATGTATGAAAACATGAGAGAGTGCTCGAAAGCACTACCATTTTACGAAAAAGCAATTGGAGTTCATCAAGAAACTCTTCCTTCAAATCATCCTTCATTGACCACTTCATATAATAACATCGGTATGGTGTATAGTCAGATAGGAGAGTACGAAAAAGCACTTTCATTTTTCGAAAAAGCACTTGAAACCTTTCAAAAAACTCTTCCTTCTAATCATCCAGATTTGGCTGCTTTATGTAACAACATTGGTTTTGTGTATAAATTTATGAAAGACTATTCGAAAGCACTATCATATTTTGAACGGGCTCTGGACATATGGCAACGTGTATTACCTCCAGCTCATCCTAATATCCACGATGTGAAAGAGAGTATTGAAATTGTAAAAAAAGAAACTATAAAGAATGGTTGATAAATAAATAAAAGAAGATTTTATTTACTTATTTTTGAATTAATTCTATTTTGTAGTGATTTGCCATTCGTACAGAGAACAACTCTGTAAAAAATAAAAACGTAATGGACAAAGACGATTGATAAGGTAATACACATATGTATGTATGTGTATAAAGGCTGTAGATGTGGGTGTTGCTGTGCGTGTGGAATGAGGGTCTGGCTGTAAATATTAAATTAATCACCCACATTCAGCCCACATCTTCACCCACATCCACACTCACCCCACACCCACCCACAACCACATCCACCCATAACCACACCCTTGCATAACCAGGACAATTATGTTTTAATATTTCTGTAGAAACAAATCAATCAATAATTAGATGAAGAGAATTTGCATCTAACACTTTGTACTTGATATAATTTTTATAAATATGAGCAAATTGTCTTTCTCGGAAGTACATAGGAGATTACTTAGAGCTAGTTTAGTAATTATCATTATTAAACTTTCTTTTCATTCGAAATCGATAATGTTACAAGTTAGATTATTCAACTTTAATTTTAAAGATAATTTAAAGTATAAACTGATATGACTAATCATACAACCAAGAAAACATTAATTCCATTCGTTTTCAGATTAATTACTATATTAACAAGCTATCAATCTGTTCGACCAGAAAATTCAGACCACATTCTTTATATTTTCACAGAGTTCTATTGTTGAAGATCTATGCATGGCTGTTTGAGTTGACCCAAATGGAAATGGTTCTTTTTGTTTAAACACCTACGACAATTCAATAATAAATAGAATTTTATATCTAAAAACAAAAAAAAGAAAATAGCAATGCTAAATCTTTCTTTAACAATTCTTCAAAAATCAAAACAATAATTATCAGTAGAAATTTCTTCAATGATAAATAATAAGGTTCGGAAAATGAGTACGTAAAAACATCAATGTATAACAATCAATATCTGTATTACCCGATAAATCAAGTATAAGTAAATTATTCTAAATAAAAAAAACAATTTTCTATTTTTTTTCTCGCTTAGAGGTTTTACCATGATTTTTTGTTCAAATAATTTTCGAATACCATTGGATGTAAATTTATTTTTCGATAGATTTAATGATTTTAGTTGATCTAATGTTAATTTTTCTAATTGATCCAATATTTCATCAGTTAATTGATTTTCTTAAAATAAATTATATACAAAATAAAAATGAGAAAAAAATAATTCATTACCTGATAAATTAATTGAATGAATAAACATAAAATTTTCGAATATTTTTAATATATTAATAATTTGTTCTAATTTTAAATTTAATCGTTGTAATGATAATTCAAATTTATCAAAAAATTTTTTTAATATTAATCGAATATTTGAATAAACAACTAAACCCATTTCTTTACAAATTTGTTCATAGGAAACTATTGGATTTTTTTCAATATAAACTGCTTTAATCTAATATTCAAAAAAAAGAGTTTATTTTGACAAATTTATTTTGTAACCTACATCTGATTCATCAATTGGTATAGCTATTTGAATAGTATCAGCTTCTGTCATACCTAATTCCCAATCTTGTTTATCATAAAGCATAACAAAACAAGCATAAATATTATAATTATCATATAAACGTTTAAGTACTTGATAACGAAGATTAGTTATAGTATCTGATGATGATCTAAAAGAAGAGATTTTTTCTTGTAGATATTTAATAATGAGATTTTCCTACATTGGTATTCGAAGTTTTTTATCTTCAGTTATTCGATCAGTTGTATTAGCCAGACATCGAAGAATTCGAATATGTGAGGTAGGTGGTGGTGGTGGTGAAAGAACAATAGTCGTATTTAATGATGATGTTGTAGATGCTTGACGAGATCTTATTGTTGATTTTGGTGTCATTAGTTGAAGCGATTTAACAAAATCGGAATGATCAATTTCTATAAGATCAGATATTAAATGTTCATTATCAATCATTGTACATTTTCGTTTTGGTGCAGGAGTATATAATGGTGAATCAGGTTGTT